GGTCCTTCGGGTCATATATCAAAAAAAACCCCGCCAAAAAAAAAAAAAAAGAGGAGTCGGCCTGGCATGAACAGGGACAAGATGTACGACCGTAGAGGGAGTGGGCGGCCAGACTCTGGAGGCCCCTGGACATTTTTCTAGCACCCACTTGACTGAGTAGACAGGAAACCCCCCCACTGGAAAGATTCTAAGTAGAGGAGAGACAGAATTTGACTAAGATTTTAAAGGACCACTCTAGGAGCCAGTCCCATGGCACAGTGGTTAACAGGGCAAGATCTCACAGGGCCGGCTGTGCAGTCTGAATCCTGGCTCTTACAACTTGAAAACACACTGAGCACGGGGGCCCCAAATCCTAATGGACAGAGGAATGGAGAAGGAACTAAGGCACCGGGTGGGGCTTCTCCCGCTCCGTCTCTATGGCAAGCACACCTGCCCTCTGGTTTGCAAACAAGGACCACTCTACTCTGTTGAGATTGTTCCACAGGGAGAAAGGGCAATGCAGAGGCCCCGAGAAAACCAGGGCTAACGAGCATGTGGGCAGGTAAGATGACTCTGGGGCCAGGCAGGTGGCGTGTGGTTACGGTGGCTGGATCCCACATGGCCTAGTGTGTGGTTTAACTGCTGGGCATGTGTGTTCATGCCCCCAAACCTGAGAGAATGGAGAAGGAACTGTGGCATGGCCACGCCACTACCACCAAGCCCCAGTCTCACTCCAGTGAGTGCACACACCCTACTGCAAACTGAAAAACGAGAAGGAAGAGGGGCCAACAGGTGGTATGATGGTTCAGGCACTGGACTCGCACTTGGTCAACTGCAGTTCAAGTGCTGGCCTGGCAGCTTGCTGTCTTTCTCTCCCTCTCTGGTGAGTGCATATGCCATATAGCAGGTTGAAAAGTGATGATGATAATAAATAAAATTAAATAAATAAATATTTTTTGGGGTTCACATTTTATTGGGGACCCCAGGGGAGCCCTGACAACACAGCTGCTCAGTCTCTTCAGCCACTCCAGGCTCCGGCCCTGCGGGTCCTGGGGGTGGCTGGGCACGTCAGGCACGTTCCCATCGTCTTGGTGGGGCACTGGGGGTGCCCCTGGTTCATCATGATGGAGTACTTGGTGTAGGGGCCGAGTGAGGGCAGGACAATAGTCCCGGCCATGTTGGTCTCCCAAACAAATAAATATTTGTAAAAAAAAAATAAGAAAGAGAGATGGCCGTGGCAGAGATGGCAGAGAGCGTGCAGGGAAGTGAGGACAACCAGTCCCGCAATTCCTGCAGGAGTGTGGGTGACTGCAGTGAGCACTCAGCTGGGCTGAGGTGCCAGGAGTGCAGAAACGGAGACAGGCCTGAACCACATCTGGAAGGCTGAATCAACGGAACAGGGATGGGACAGGGAACAGGACCAGAAGGACGCAGGCAACAGCTTCTGACTCACATGAACAGGTACATGAACGCCATGTAGTGGGACAAAGTCTAAAAGAAGGGCTTCAGTTTCCTGGCTTAGAAAGTAGGGAACTAGCAGTTAGCATAATGGCTATGTCGCTGGACTCCCACGTAGTCAACTGCGGTTCGCGTCCTGGACCCGGTGGCTTAAAACTCACGCCAGGTGCATGTGCGTGCGTGCCCAAGATCCCGAGAGGAGAATGGAGGAGAAGGGATTGCGGCGTGACCATACCCCCTGGGGGGTGATTTCTCGCTTTCTGTCTCTCTGTCTCTCTCTGTCTGTCTGGCGACCGCACGCACCCTATGGCAAAAAACCTCTCCAAAAAAAAAAAAAAGAAAGTAGAAGGGGGGGCCAGCCCCAAAACACAGTGGGTAAGGCTGCTGGCTCTCACAAGGCTGGCTGTGGTTCCAGTCCCAGCCTGGAAAAAACACCCCAAGACACACGTGCATTCATCAAATCCTGACAGCAAGGAGGGACAGAGAAAGGACTGCACGTGACCACGTTCCAAAGGGACTCGCTCTCTCTCTGGCAAGCACCCATGCTCTCTGCCAATAAAAAGCCCAAGGAGCCCCTCTTCCTCCAGGAGACATATGGTACTTCTCCCTCCACCAATCACACAGGAGAGCCCTACTGAATCCGCAAACCCCACAGACCATCCATCCACCTGGGGCCAGCAGGCAGCATGGTGGTTAGAGTGCTGGACTCCCACATGGCTGACCACAGTTCGAGTCCTGGACGTGGTGGCTTGCTTTCTCACTTTCCCTCTTTTCCTCTCTCTCTCTGATCAAATAAAATAATGATAATGATGACGAATAAAATTAAATAAAATAATTTAAAAAAATGGGGCCAGCAGGTGGCATGGTGGTTAAGGGCACTGGACTCCCACATGGTTGATCGTGGTTCGAGTCTCAAATCTGGTAGCTTGCTTTATCTTTCTCTCTCTTTCTCACTCTGCCCCTCTCTGGTCAAATTAAAATAAATAAATAAAGTTAGATAAAATAATTAAAAAAAAAAAAAAGACCATCCGGGACCAGCAGTTAACGTAATGGCTATGTCGCTGAACTCTCATGTAGTTGGCCGCGGTTAGAGTCCCAGACCTGGTGGCTTAATCTCACACCAGGTACATGTGTGTGCGTGCCCAAGATGCTGAGAAGAGAAAGGAGAAGAGATTGCAGCGTGGCCATCACCCCTGGGGGTGATTTCTTGCTTTCTGTCTTTCTGTATTTCTGGCCAGTGCCTGTGCCCTAGAGCAAAAACCTCTCCAAAAAAAAAAAAAAAAAAAAGACCATCCATCCACCTGGCTGCTCAGGCCGGAAACCTGGGAGTCATCCCTGTCATCTCCCATTTCTCAGCCCATATCCAGTCCACCAAAGTACCTCCTCCATCTGCCTTCTCATCACCTACACCACCAACACCCACATCGAGGCCATGGGCTCCTCACCTTGGGGACCACGAGGGTGCCCTGACTGGACTCTCTCCACTCTCGCCCCTCTCCAATGTACTCGTTACTCCTGAGTCTAGAATGCACTTTCTCAAATGTTAACTGGATCATGGCACTCCCTGGCTCAAAACTGATCAGTGAATTCCCCTTGCCTTTAGACTACAAAATCCAGATGCCACCCAGGCCTCACCCCCTCATTTCCTATGTAGCCCCAGTCTAGGGCACCGGGGATGGACTAAGTATTCAGCACGTGTCTCCTGAACAAATGGAGGTCATCTTTCACGTGCAGTGAGTTAAATGTCCCTAAGGCCATGGGCTGTGACAATGGACAAAGGCCTCAGGCCCACCCTGCAGCGCTGTTCCGCCACCCAGGAGTGGAACGCTACCAACTGGAGATGGCTGTGACCCCGAATGTGAGGCAGATGCATTCAGGCTACCGTCGCTTGCAGGGCTGGTTGGCAGCTTGGACCACACAGGTGCGCCTCAGGCTGAATACTGACCTCCTCGGCGTTCTCCAAGTCATCGAGCCCTTCGTCCTCCTCCACGTCATCAAAGTCATCGCCATCGAAACTGAACGAGAAGAGACCAGTCAGTCAGAGCCTCCGTCATCACAATCAATGAGGGCAGAGATCTGTGTCTCCAGGATACGCGGTCACTCCACAGGAATCACTCAAGGAACCCAAGTCTGTCCCACGGACTCCTCCCACTCTCCTCCATCTGCTGGGACTCAGTCATCATCACCATTTCCCTCTACGCTGGATATTCTCAGCACTGGGTCCCCTCGTCCGCACTGAAACACGTAGTTATTTCCCCATCTTAAAAATCTCCTGGGGCAGTAGCTGGCATAATGATTATGTCGCTGGACTCCCACAGAGCTGACCATGGTTCAAGTCCTGGACCTGGTGGCTCAGAACTCACATTGGGCACATGAGTGTGTGTATGCCCAAGATCCCAAGAGGAGAGTGGAGAAGGGACTGCGGTGTAGCCATCCCCATGGAGGGTGAGTTCTTGTTTTCTGTCTCTCTGGTGAGCGCACACACCCTATAGCAAAAAACCTCCCTTTAAAAAAAAAAAAATCTCCTACTGGGGCCAGCGGGTGGGGTAGTGCTTAAAGCACTGAACTCCCACATGGCTGACTATAGTTCAAGTCCTGGACCTGATGGCTTGCCTTCTCATTTTCTCTCTCTCTGATGAATTCAAAAAGTAATAGTAAATAAATTTTTTTTAAATTTTCTCTTGGGGGGACCTATGGTGTAATGGTTACATTGCTAGATTCCCATGTAGTCTACTGCAGTTTGAGTCCCAGACCCGGTGGCTTAAAACTCTTACTGGTGCATGAGCGCGTGTACCCAAGATCCCAAGAGGAGAATGAAGGGACTGTGGTGTGGCCATCCCCTCTGGGGAGTGATTTCTCACTTTCTGTCTCTTTGTCTCTCCAGAGAGCATGCATGCCCTATAGCAAGAATCTCTCTTTGAAAAAAGAAAAAGATCCCTGCCCTAGTAGTGTTTCTGTTCTCAAGGGGGAGACACACAAAAAAATAAACAACCTTCTCTTGGGACCAGCAGATGACATAGCAATTACATTGCTGGACTCCCACATGGCAGACTGGTTTGGGTCCCAAACCCAGTGGCTTTAAAATCACACCAGGCACATGTGCATGCATGCCCAAGCCCAAGATCCTGGGAGCAGAATGGAGGAAAGGGATTGAGGTGTGGCCATCCCCTAGGGGGTGATTTCTCACTTTTTCTCTCACTGTCTCTTTGGCTAGCAGACAAACCTTAAGCCAAAATCCTCTGGAAAAAAAAAAAAATTCTCTTCTCCCCCCTCACAGCCTTAATTCCATGCTCCCCTTTAGAGCAAAATGTGTGAAAGAGCTGTCTATGCCCCGTGGCTGATTTCTCTATCATCGTGTCACTACAGTAAGACTCTCACCCCTCGGCTGTCACCGTCACTCTCCCCGCGTTCATTATCTCCACACTGCTAAATCCAGTGGGCATTCTCATTTATTCTCTCTCCACTGGCGCGGCAGGCCACTGCTCCTGCTCCATACACCCTCCTCGCGTGACTTCAAGGGCACCCCACTCTGAGTGTGCCCCCACCAGCCTTTGCTGGTGTCTCTTTCCCGAGCACTCCGGGCGGAATGTTCTCCCATCTCGTCTTCTCTAGTGATATTCCCTGGCAACCCCACCCATTTCTTCATCTTGACTGACATATTTATGTTAATGATCCCATGTATATTTTTTTAAGTTTATTTATTTCTTCCAAGAGAAGAGAGAGCACCCCTAAGAGGGTCTTAACACCTTGACACACACCCCCAGCCTTCAGCCAGCCCCAGATCATGGGCAACAGTGGGCCCTGCATACTGGGAGCGGTCTCCAGCCTTGAACTGGGAACGTTCCCACGTGGGGATGCCTCGCAGAGGCATGTTTTCCCCCTGAGCTACTGTCTGGTACGCCCATGTTGATCTGAATACTCCTCTGACCCTACACACCCAAGCCATCAGGAACTCTCTTAGGCTGTACCCTTAATACATCAAGATAGCCAGACAGCGGTGCAGTGGCAAAACGCGTGCTCCCTGAGGCTGACCCCCGGAAGGTTCCCAGCTCCTGCAGAGACTTCTCTGAGTATGCCGCCCCAGCCTGTGTGCACAGGATCTGAGGCAGCTGGAGCTGAAAGTACCTCTCGGTGTCAGGCCCCAGCAGGGGGTGCTGTGTCTGTGTGTCTCTGTCTCTGTCTCGGAAGAAACCAACTTAAACAAAGTAAAGCCCAATGGTCACCTCTACACCCTAGCACAAGCCACACTGCCTTCTCTCACCTAGATCACTGCCTCCCTTCCAGGCCTTTCCCGCCGGGTCAAGGTGCACAGACCCTCCCCCGGACTACTTCGGTACCACATTCTTCTACGGCTCGCACGACTCTGGATCCGCTGCCGGGCCCGTGCCCGTGCCCGTGCCCTCTCCAGGAAGTGCGCGGCTGGAGAGCGGGGCTCTGTCTCACTCCAAGACACTGAGCCAGGCTGGGCGCGAGGTGTGCTGAGCGACGCCTCCCGTCTGCGCCCCTGCACCGCCCAGCCCTCCCCTTCTCCAGCTCCGCGGGAACCCTGGGAATCCTCCTGGACGCGGCCCCCCCGCCG